TACAGCCCACACAGCACATAGCTCCGATTAAGCTCCTAGGAAGTTCATTTCGCTGAGCTCCCGGGAAGCTTACAAAATTCGATAAAACAAGCTTTCAGCGAGTTAGTATACTAGTTGAGAGCTCCCTGGGAGCCTCATTTAAACTCCCTGCGAGCTTAAATAAAGCTCCCAGAGAGCTCTCAAAAGCGGACATAGGAACTCTCAGGGGACTCCGTGCGAGTTCGTTTGAAGTTCAAGTAAAGCTTATGACTAATTTTAAGAGCTCCCCGGGAGCTCCCCGGGAGTTCCCCGTGCTGTGTGGAAGGGTACCTCTAAAGTCAAACCCCACTCTTAGATCTAGGAAACTGCTTTAAATTTTATGGAAAAGTATTTCAGACAGAAGTTGTAGAATATTGAGGAGGATATATGTGATAAAAATATGGACTTGACCTTGAGTGACTTTATCAAGATCAAGTCCATATTTTTACCGTCTGTCCTCCTCAATATCCTACAACTTCTGTCTGAAACATTTTTCCATATTTAAAATTGTTCCGAGATCCAGAGGTAGGGTTGGACTTTAGAGATACCCGGTATATTAAAGATAATTGTTATGCTGAAAATCCAAAAATTGTGCCAGAATTCGTTAAAAACGACATGTTAAAAAGTTTTTTTGAGTTTTTTTTGTAAGAGAATTGATTTTTGTACAAATTCAGATGGCGTACACCTCGGAAATGTTTATCATTAACTTGCTTGATTATGAGCATGGTTTCATTAGTAAAATTAACCGGTATATAAACATTTTGGTAATTTTATTTATAGTCGTTAAAAATTGCTCACTTTTTTCTTTCCAATGCAAGTTTTATTTTTTAATAACTACATGCATTTGAAAATCAGTTTTAGTACTTTTACGTGAGACATCCTGTATATAAAATTTTAACAAATTGCAATAAATTGTTTAAAAAATGCTTACTTTTTATATTCTCACTTAACATATTAATTAATAGTATCTCTACCAATTTATAAACAGGTAGTTTTGTAACAATAGAACAAATGTATATCATCAGAGATTGTGCAATATGACATTCTTATCATAATTTATGATCGCGATATCTGATAACGTTATCACTATCAGAGAATAAAAATGTAACAATATAAATACCATCGAGTATAAGTTCTTCCTTAAATTTCTTGACGAATAAAATATGATATTGTGTGTCTCAATTAAAAACAGAAACTTGTGAATTGAAAGGAAAAGACCAAGTGTGTGTAAATACTAATTAACTATGTGCATCTTGTTTATTTATCGCAATCCAAATGCTGATGTTAAATCTTATCGATTAATAATTGCATCAAATCGAGATGAAACATATAAACGTCCTGCATTGCCAGCCCATTATTGGGAAAAGCATCCTGAATGTTTAGGAGGTATGATAAAAATATCAGCACATTATCTGAAACAATAATATAGTTAAGTCTTTAGAAATAATATTTAATAGCTTGAATTACGATGTCAAATTTAAAGCAAATATGTTACATTCTTTTATTTATATAAAATTATCATGAAATATATTAGGTATTGACATGGAACCAGAAAGGGAAGGTGGAACTTGGTTAGCTGTATCAATGAAAGGAAAAGCAGCTGTTATTTTAAATCTTAATGAAGAACGCGTAATTAATTCATCAAGAAAAGGTCGTGGTTTCTTGATAAGCAATTTTATTACTTCCAATGATTCTATAGAGTCATACTTGAGTAATTTACACCAGGAAAATGTAAATGGACAACCATATAATCCGTATTGTTTAGCTTTATTTAATTTAAAGTAAGTAGATAATACGTAATGTAAATCTAAATATTTAGCTGTTTCTGTTGAATTCTAATAAAGAGTAATAAAATCTAAAATTTTACGAAAAAAACCGTGAAAGAACAATGAGAGTAGTTACGTAGATGTTGTAACCCGATATGTTTAATCCAATGTCCAAATAATTAGATACATTGATGTACGAGTACTAGTAAACCAGGTGAATATTTTGACTCAATTTTGAGTCATCTTCAGCGCTTGTCTATCGATTTCCATTGTTCGGTAAGGAAGATGCGCTTTTAAAATAGTCGTTCTAAAATTGTACTAGAAGAAAGTAAAGAATATGTTTAAAAACTGTAGAAGTAATTGTAGTGTCAGTTCATATTCTACGTCGTAATTAAAATAACTCATCAAGTGATCCCGAAACAATAAAAATTTTGGAATTGATTGGAATTTGAGGAAACATTTTAAGGCACAGATCAAATAAAATTTTTTTTTAACAAACTTGAGTATAAAATAACCAGAGTTAAAAAGTTACATTATAAAAGTATCTAGTTACAGTTTTTTGCTAAAAATGTAACTGCAGGTTGCAGTTACAAGGTACCAATCTAAAATATAACGCGTTACAATTACAGTTACTCAAAAAGTAACGAATCGTTACTTTGCAGTTACTTGCAATAAAAATAAAAATATCAAATCTGTATTTAGATTGTAAAGTAGTATCGATAAAGGCGTTTATGTGCAAATGCAAGACTTAATGCAATCTGTGGAGGTTTAAAATATACATAAGGTAACTACTAATGTAATAGTTAAATTATAGTTACAGATAGAGAGAAAGTAACAAAGTTAGAGTCACCAAAAAAAAGTAACTGTAACTTCATTACAAGTAACGAGTTATTTTCCAACCCTGAAAATAACTAAACGTGATCGACATTGGATTATCATGCTACATCTATATAACTACTCTCATTGTTATATTTTCACGTTTTTTTTACAATTTTGAGAATCACAATTTGTTATTTTGAAAAGTTTATATCAGTAATTTTACTAAATTTCTTAATTACTATGTATATTTTTTTTAGCAATGCTGACGTGCATTATTTGAGTAGTACAAAATCTACTGGGCCTAAAAAAATTTGCAACAGTGACATTATAGGTATTGGAAATGGTGGATTAAATTATCCTTATAAAAAAGTTGAAATAGGAAAGGAAGAATTTAAGCATATTGTGCAAGATGTAGATATATCCAAACAAGATAATCTAATTGATAAACTTATTCATTTCTTAAAATCAACGAAAAAGTACGCCAAATTTATATTAAATTTTAATATTAAGATATTAAATCAATTTTAATATTAAAAATACATGTATTAATACATTTATATTCAGTTGGCATAAAATTTCATATATGTATATATAATGTATATATATGCAGAGATGGGCGGCAGTAATTACTTTTGTCTTCAAATTACACATTTAATTACAAATTACTTTTACTACTTGTAATTGAAATCCATTTAATTACCCATTACTTTCAGCATTTGTAATTGATGCCCAAGTAATTGATGCTCAAAGTAATTAAAGTACATCACGTAACTTAATTACATTCATGTAATTAAATTACATTCGTGTATTTCTTGTTCGAATCGAGTTAACAACAAAAAGAACGTAAAATTGTACTTACTGCAAGACAACTTGTTCTGTTCACGTCGAGCAAAGATTAATTTTTGGTCTTAAGATTGTTCGCGAGTTGCGAGATGCCTTCGCAATATTCAAACATTGTCCGATAGAATGATGGAAATTCGGCTCCATCATTCGAATATATTATGTCTGAATTTGTCATAAGGAGGTATGACTGTTTCCTATATGTAGTAGATTCCTTTCCGCAAATAAACAGTATACGGCTATTCTATATAATAATTTCTCCAGAACATATTAGCATTAATGCAAGCCAAAAAGCAGAGACATACATATAAATGTGGCAATTATATACATTGTTTAAGTATTGGTGCTAAATGTTGCAGAATAAATTCAAGTTTTTATAAGGTAGTAATTTTCAAGCTCACAAAAGTATCTCATTAAAATTTTATTTATTATTGGCCAAAAGCTGACATAGTTAGTGCATTAACACTATCGATGCGCGACTCACGGACAGGTTTCCGTTCAACCGTAGCGTACGATTGGTC